CAGAAGGACGAGGAAGTAGGCTGGGGGCTGGGAACCAGCTCTAGGAATTATTATTAGCTTTCTTAATTCTATACATTCAGCTTTCAATTTTTTTTTTAATGTTGTTTCCATATTTATTTGGTTTCCATTCCAATTAAGCTCTCTGTGTGCTGTGGCTTCTCTCCTGCCAGGTTTAATTGCCCTTATTTAAATTCTTTAATTAAAAGTATTGTATGTTTCCAGATCCTGTAATTGTATTACACAAATAATTTAGATGGCTGGACTGGTAAACCAAGTGACTGTGCCCTCCACTGAGGCAAAGACTGACCAGGGAGCTCTGCATCAAACCACAGCACCCCAAAGCCATGGCACTGGCCCAGAGGTTGCTATCTGGGACCTGGGTATTGGGACAAGAGGCTCCTAACACCTCTCCTTGCTTTCTTCCAGTAACAGGTGCAGATTCCAAGGTTCACAGCCTTACTGTCTATGTGACCCTGGGCAAGTCTCCCAATCTCTCTAAGCCTCAGTTTACAATTCTATAAAATCGAGATAATAATAATCACCACCTTATAGTCATATTGTGAGGAATACATGAGATGAGCATGTCAAACATTTGACACAGGTAGATGGAAAATAAGTCTCAGCTGTTACTATTTTGGGGCATCCCCAGTGGCACAAATGATTAAATGCTCTCATCTACTAACCAAAACATGTGGTTCAAACCCACCCAGAGGTGTGTTAGAAGACAGGCCTGGTGATCTGCTTCTGAAACGTCACAGCCTTGACAACCTGTGGTGCACAGTTCGACTCTGCACACATGGGAGTCACCATGAGTCTAAACCAACTTGATGGCAACTGGTTTGGCTTTTTGGTTTGGTTACTTTTTTTTTTTTTCAATCTCAGATGAAGAAACTGCAGGTAGATGTACCAGGTGGTGATAAAACCAGGCTACTCCCAAGGGTGCTGCACTCAGCAGGAAGGGACTGAATGGAGGAAAGAAAGACTTCTTTGTGATTTAGGTGAATAGATTTTGCTTCATAGAGAGGGAGAGCATCCAGTTTGTTCAATGATAGGGGTTGAGGTCTGAGAAGGAAGAACAGGAGGGGGACAGTGCAAGCAGTCCATGCTGGCTCCACCATCAAAGGGTGGGCTGGCTCCTCTCTCTATACCCCAGATGTGTCCCAGGGTACATTCCAGTCTCTGCTCAGCAAAGCCCAGGTGGCCTTTCATTCCTGTTGTAGAAGGCTCTCCTCACTCAGCCACCAGGGAGGGTACATCCTCCACCCTCCCTGACAGGCTCAGACACTCCCTGCAAAAACCCAGCTCTTGGCTCACTCTATTTCCCCCACAGGCTTCCAGGAGGCCACACTGGCTGTTTCTGCCCAAGGTCACCACATTTCCTGTCTCTAGGGTGCTAAGGGCATGGTGGGGCCAGGGTAGGGCCTGGGAAACATCAGATTTTAGTCTCTGAAGGAAGACTTTACTTCTCAGGGACCTCCACTCCCACCTCCCTTGCCCAACCCTTGGCAAGGTGCCCCCCAAGAAGAACACATCAGGCTTAGAATGTCCCTTGTGACTTGTGGGAAAGTGAGGGACTGCAGCCTCCTCTGCCTTTTGATAAATTTCTCCAAGCTTTACGGGTCTGTGAAACAGCCTGCTGTTGGCAAGGGTGGCCTGGCCCATGAGGACATGCGGAACAGTCAGAATCTTCAGGGGGAGTAGATGGGGGTGTTTGGTCTGGCCCCTCTTTTTGTCATGCATTTTTTCCTGGAGCCCCTATCCTAATATTCCAAATTATGCAGCCTCATATCCATCTGTTGTTCTGTAGCTAAAAGGGACTTCCCATCATCCTTCTGCTCATCCTCCCAGTAGTCAGGACAGAAATTATCAGCTGGCCTACAGAAAATGAAACCAGAAGAGTGGAGAGGCTTTATCAAGGCCACATCACTGATACCCAGAAAAGAAGCCAGGTCTTCAGACAGTTCACCACTCTTCCCTTTGGCTATCACTGGCTGAAATGCTAGCAAACCAACTGACTCATGATGACCCCATGTGATGCAGAGTAGAACTGAGCTCCATAGGGTTTTCCTGGTGTGATTGCCAGGCCTTTCTTCTGAGGCACCTCCAAATGGGTTCAAACCTCCAAACTTTCAGTTAGCAGCCCAATGCTTAACCGTTTACATCTGGATACTTCTTGAAGCCCTTGTGAATTGGGAAGCTGGACTGGTTTTAGAGTCACCCTTCCTGAGCTCTGCTTCCAAGAATGTGGGGTAGGACATACTGCCAAGCTGGCAGGGCAGTTGGAGGGGCTGGAATAGGCTGGCTGCAGGCCCCTAAAGAAGCACCAGGGACATGATCCAACCTGGGTGTACAACAGGTATGCTCATGTTTGGAGGCTGCCAGGTTTTATATAGGGAGATCTGGTGGCATAGTGCCTAAGGCATTTGACTGCTGACTAGGAGGCTGCTGGTTCAAACCCACCAGCCACTCCTTAGAAGGCAGACTAGGCAATCTTTTCCCATAGAGATACTGCCTCAGAAACCCAAGGAGGGGTTGCTATGAGTTGGATTCAACTCAACAGCAGTGAGTTTGTTTTGTTTTGTTTTGTTTTTTAATAGAAATCCAGGTGGGCTGACTTAGAGCAAGTATCATAAAGGATGCCTATGAGTCCAAAAATCCAGGCCTTGAGGGACAGGATGGGGACCCAAATGAACTACAGCATCTGAGAGGACAATTGAGACTGTCCTCCACAGTCATCCTATAGCCCGGAGCATGGTGTGGTCACCAAAGTTCCAGGCTATATGGAAGGAGCCTATTGTCCAGTGTAAGAGAGTGATGGCCTTCTGTTCTGTGATCAGTTTTGAGTGACACAGAACAACTGAAACTATCCAAAGGAAGGTAACTGAGATGGCAAAAGGATACAGAATTGTCCCAGAAGAAGTAGTGCAAGGAACTGGGAAGTTTAACCTGAAAAAGCATGGACCTGGGGGGACATGGCCATCACTTTCCCCTGTTGGTGGAGAAGATGTGCAGAAGCAAGAACAGACCCAGTGTGGAAGCCAAATGGGGAAGGTCTAGGATTCCTTGTGGATGCCTCTGAGACAGGAAGTTAGTTCAATGGGAGGAAATGTTCCAAAGGTGGAGCAGCTTAGGGGAAGAGAGTACTTGTTCAGGAGGGGTGAGTTCTTCGTCTCTAGGGGTGGCCGAGCAGAATGGCCCCATGGCTGAGGTGTAGAAGAGGCCATTCAGCCTACAGATGAGAGGAAGAGGGTTGGCCTTCAAGGTCTCTTCCAATATGGGGATTCTGTGGTCCTTTCTGAGCCCTCATCCAATGGCCACTCTGAGTCTTTGGGTTTCTCTCTAGTTCCACCTGTGGTCCTCAATAAACTAGCTGTTTCAGCTTCCCCTTTGTTCTGTTGTCTTTCGGCTATTAGATGCTGTTCTGGAGAGGTTTGGGGAGGGGGCAGGGGGAGAAGCCTTGCCTTATTCACTTGAACACTTCTAAAGACATTCAGTCTGGTGGGCTATCTTCCACACATTGGAATTTGGGAATTCCATTTCTAAAAATGCAAATACATACCCCCCACCTCCCTTCACTATGCAGCTTCTCCATTCTCTGCCTCTTCACCTGATACTCAAAGTCCCTTTTGAGGGAGCTGGATTTTTTTGTTTTAAATTTTTTTTAATTGAAGAATAATAACACACACATACAGAAAAGTGCACTGAACATAAACACTCAATTCAATGATTTTAAACAAAGCAAATGCCCATGTAACTACTACCCAAGTCAAGAAATAGCACACTGCCAGCACCCCTTTTGCCTCCTGTCAATCATTTCCCACTCCCTTCTCCCTAAAGTAGAAGCTCTGATGACGTAGTGGTAAAGGCATTTGATTGCTAGCCAAAAGATCTGTGGTTCAAATCCATCAGCTGTTCCATGGGAGAAAGATGAAGCAGTCTGCTTCTGTAAAGATTTATAGCCTTAGAAACTTTATGGGGCAGTTCTATTCTGTCCTATAGGGTCACTATGAGTCAGAATCTACTTGATGGTAGTGGGTTTCTTTTTTTTTTCCTCCCTAAAGGTAACCATAGGTTTATTTAGCCTGTTTTGGAAGTTTACATAAATAGAATTGATGTATACATAGATAGGTAGGTAGGTAGATGGATGCATGATAGAATGAATGGGTGTGTGTGTATGATTTTGTCTGGCTTCTTTTGCTAACATGTTTTTACAATTCATCCTTACTGAGTGTAGCTCTAATTTGTTTTCATTCCTGTATAGAATTCCATTGTATGAATAATGAATATACCACAAGTTATTTATTCATTCTATTATTGATGGGGGTTTGAGTTGTCTCCAGGTTAGAGCTTTTACAAATGTTTCAAATAGAATTGAAGTTCAGATCTTCAGTGTACCAGTGCACACATTTTTGCTAGATTATGTATATAGCTAAGAATAGAATGATTGATTCAAAGAGATGTGTACTTCAACTTGAGCAGACACTGCCAGTTTTCTATGTAGTTATGAGAAGTGAGTCTCTGGAGTGTTCACTGCTGACATGAACCAAACGCAAGCTTCTGGACACTGTCAGTTGGGCCACTGAACATGGGCCCTAGAAGCAGGAGTCCTGGCCCTCTGATGATGATCACGTTCAGGTTGATCCTGGAATGAGTGAGGCTTTTCAGAGCAGGGCCCCAGTCAATGTATTTCGGCCAGCAGGGCCTACTTCTCAGGGTAAGAGCTGTAAAAGCAAACCAGCACACCACACCCCAGCCAGGTAGAGGTTTATCCTAGCAAAGAACTGACATACTGTGAAGAAAATCTAAAGTAGATGTTCAGGAGACCGACACATCACAGACAGGGAATCCTGAGGTTCCAGGGGTATGTTTTGGACTCACTGGGTCCCAGGGATCTGACCACACAAATAATTCCAGCCCTACCAGCCTCTAGGCCTGAGGGTCCCCAAACCTCCCTGCATTTCCGCTATGCCCTCTGACTCTGCTCTCTGCCTGGCTCCTAGGGAGGCCCCATCCAGAACCGCAAGTCCAAGCGCTGTCTGGAGCTACAGGAGAACAGTGACATGGAGTTCGGTTTCCAACTGGTGCTGCAGAAGTGTTCAGGCCAGCACTGGAGCATCACCAACGTCCTGCGGAGCCTGGCGTCCTGACTTTGCCCAGGAGCTGCCTCTTGCCCACCCCTTTGCTACTGTGTAGCACCTGCTGCAATGCTGCCTGCTGTCCATGTGGGGTTGTTTGGAGTCTGGGGGAGCCAGGTCAGTGGGCCCCTGAAAGAGCTTTTTATTTCCTATCGAATTTTCATGGAATTTACAGAAAGATGCTGAATGGTGGGTGAGGGTATCATATTATAAACTATTTTGCAACTGTAAATAGGGGACAAGTGGAAAATATTTATAACTGACAGTAAAATACTATTGATTAAGAAAATTGTTTTTGTGGTCGTTCGGTGCTCTGTGGTCCCCTGAACTTGGAGCTCTCAGTGCCAAAGATGTGTCCCTGTTTGCTCTTCCCACTTCACATCCTTGAGAAAGGCTTTAGACCCTTGCACACAGTGGGAGCTTGTTGTGCAATCTGCCAGCTTACTTTGTGAGGCTCTGGGGCCAGCTGAAGGGCATCATGACCTCAGTCCCCACTTCAGAGGGAGGGCTGCCTTTGCCTCTCACAGAGAAGTTGCCTCCTCCACCCAGGCAGCTTCAGTTCTTCATTCCTGGAGGAAAAAGGACTGGTCACCGGAGTAGCATTGGCTGGGCTTCAGGCTACACTGTCCTCTCCTGAAGTCTCCAGGTCACCTTACTAAGGCTGGTTAAGCTCCTCCCATGAATTGCAGCTCTCACCCAGTTATGACTCCAAGTCAATCTCCCAGGATGCAGCCTCAGGAGACCATGGCCCTCAGGGCGAACCCTCTTTCTTGGAGCCCATGTCCAATCCTCTGTTCCTCCAATAGCTCCTGGCAGAATGTTTTCTTTCCTGGTCCACTTCCTAGGGTTCCTGTTTTTAGTTTGAGGGACCTCTCCACCCCTAACCCTCCTTTAGCACTCTCCCTCACAGCAGAGCAATAATAACTGACAGGCTCTAACTAGAGAGAAGTAACCCTTTCTGGACAGGTTTCAGCCCTACTCACCTCCTAAAGTTCTCTGGGACCTCCTTCCCAGAGGCCTCCAGCCCATTCATGTGCCTGTTTTGGTTCAGTAATTGATAATTAATTATTTATAGTAGTTTATAATTTATAAAAACTGATGAACACAGAGAAGCTTGCCTGCATCTGTGGGACCCTGAAGGAAGAGGTGCCTGCTGTTTCAACCCTTTTTGCACAAGAAGAACCTGGAGGGACCACCAGGGACTTCCCAGATCACACTCATACACCGCCCCCCTTAGATTTTCCCAGAATTCCCAATGAACCTATTAGGCTCCCTGCCTCTGGCAGATGCCCAGACATTCGTCAGGTGGACCACAGCTCATGACTAACACCTGAGAGGTCAACACAGGGTTCAGGAGCCCTCAACTAGGAAGAGGCACCTACAGAATGTGGGCACTGCCTTTCCTATACCCTGGAAGCCAGGGTTTTTACACCCTTCCCCTATATTTAGGGGGAGCTCTGGTAGCATAGTGGCTAAGACACTTGCCTGCTAACCAGACGGCTGGTGGTTCAAACCCACCAGCCACTCCTCGGAAGGAAGGTTGGGCAATCCTACTTCCGTAGTGATACTGCCTCGGAAACCCAAGGAGGGGTCGCTATGAGTCGGGGTCGACTCGACGGCACATAACAACAACAACAACAACCCTATATTTACTTCCTTTCTTAGTTAAACTACACTCATTCCTAGACTCATTCAAATGCACATCTGCCTATAGTAATAACGCCATCCTATACTTATAAATTTACTCTCAGTTCAATTCACTCTTACCCACCTGTTTCTTCACCTCTAAACCACCAATTTCATTTTTCATAATCACGCACATGTCCTACGCCAGTGGCTCCGGAAGTGTGGTTCCCAGATCAGCATCAGTAATCTTACTAGGGAACATGTTAGAAATGCAAATATTCAAACACCCCCCCCCCCCAGACCACCTGAATCAGATTCTCTGGGGTTTGAGCCCAACAATCTATGTTTTAACAAGTTCTCCAGGTGATTCTGATGCCCACTAAAACTTGAGAACTACTGGCCAGCACAAAACTCAATCAGTTTACACCTCTCCTCACTCCAATACTTGCTCAGGCCTCCATCTCCAACAGTATGAATATACTACCCATGCACCCACCTACCCTTACACCATATCCCTAGTTTAGAGTGGAAGGACTAAGAGTGTGGACTCAAGCCAGACAACATGAGTTCAAATCCCAGCTGTGCCACTTGCTAGCTGGATGATCTTGGGCAGTTATTTGACCTCTCTTTGCTTCAGTTTCCTTCTCTTAAAAATGGGGATAATGGTAGTATATTTTTTATGCGATTGTTGTGAAAAGTAAGTGAGTAAATTTATGTAAAACACTTAAAACAGTGATGAGTACATGGTGAGTGCTGTAAAGTCTTCCTATTATTATTTCATCCATTGACACCCTGACACCCAGTTGCTGTCACTGATATCCACATCTTTACACTGATCTACACTCACACCTTGCCATGCAGGTCAACATCCATATCCCACTGTACCTGTACTAACACCCACTCACATCTGTAGCCACCTGCCTGGATGAATTTGTTTTCATGCTCATTGCTCATGCCCACACTCCTACAAATGCCACACACCCTTTTCCTCCTATCAAATGTATTGCCCAACAACCCATTTCAGCATCCACATCCTGAAGCACTAACATCAGAAAGCACCCTCTCCCATAAGCCAACCTGGAAGATGTTAAAACAGGACAGAAGAGCAGCTCCCTCCTGGGACACCAATTCACCGTCTCCCTGAGCCCAGATGCCCGGGCTCTGGAGGTAGAAGAGGGTCTGAAAAGGCCCTTGCCAGCTCTGACTTCCTAATAATGCAAACCATGGGACCAGTCCAGGCTCCTCTATATTTCAGAGATACAAAAGGCAGGAAGTCTGAGGCTGTGTGTCTCCAAAACAGAGATGCTGGGCAGCAGAGGCAGGAGGTCCAGAGTGTGATGGAGTGAGGAAGACAAGGAGGCCCAGAGTGTGATGGAGTGAGGAAGACAAGGAGGCCCCAGCCGACATCCAGCTTCATCCTCATCTGGCTGCTTTTCTTACAGCTGCTGCAAGCTAATTAGTAGCTGGTTAGGGGCTCCCTGAAAACCCGGAGTGAGATCATTATTTTGCTTAATGATTTGTATATTAAACATTGTTTCCTATTTTCACTGATGCTAGAAAATGTTCCTATAACCAGTGCATAAGGACTCCTGGACAGCCAGCCAGCCCTACTGCCTGGTCCACAAACAAGTTCCACAACTCAGCCACTAGCCCTCACCCAGTCCCTCCCTATGGTCATATCTGTCCTGAGAAATGAAGAAAGAAGAGTGTTTCTCACTCCCAATTGGAAGATGGGCACAATTGGTGGCACTATAATGACCGAAGCTATCAGTGCCCTGGCCATATCCCAGCCTGCGCCATATAGGTCACTGCCAAGAGCTCCAGTACATTCCTATAGCTCCTGTAGCTTCCTGCCTCTCTGCCTGAGGCCCTTCTCTGGCCATAGGCATGTGCTTGGACCTGTGCCTGGCCAGTGCCAGAGAGTTTAGCTCTCAGGAATAAGCCCCAGCTTAAGAAGGTGGGCCTCCTCACCCTTCAGTGGAATGATTGAGGCATCATGCATGCCCCAGCCTCTCAGTGGGACTGGGCCCCAGTTGCCCACCTCAGTGTACCTTTTACTTTCTTTCCTCCTTACCCTGTCTCATTTCCCTACTTTGTCACCAGGATTGCCAGGATCATCTCCAAATACTCATCTGTGGGCCTTCTCATGCATGATGCCCCCATACCCATAGTCTCACCTATCACCTAGACACCAAAACCCCAAAACAAATCCACTGCCATTAAGTCAATTCCAACTCATAGCAACCCAATAGGACAGAAAAGAACTGCCCCCTTAGAGTTCCTAAGGCTGTAAATCTTTATGGAAGCAGAAAGCCTCTTCTCCCTCAGAGCAGCTGGTGGGTTTAAACTGCCAACCTTTTGGTTAGCAGCTGAATGATTTAACCACTAGACCACCAGAACTCCTCCTAGACACCCGTGACATCCAGATCTGGCATCTACACCCAGACTGCTCTCTCGAGCTCCAGGCCAAATCACCTCCTGCTGACAGGTCCTGGGAAGTTGCATAGCTATCCCTCAGACAATGCCAACTGGACATGTTGAAAATGGACCCCCATCTCTCCTTCTTCTCTGGCCCATCTCAGTGACTGGCACCATCCTCCACCAGGTGCTCAAACTAGGTTCACCTGCTCGTCATACTCCAGCCCCCATATTCTATCAGTAGTGCATCATGGTCATCATAGCTGCTAACTTGCTCTGGTGTCTATTCCCTGAGCCTCTCCATCACTCCCCATCTCTAGTCTCACCCACTTGCCATCTCATCTGTTCTCCACACTGCTGCAGTCACTGGCATCTTTTTGAAATGCAAAAACAATCAGATTTGTTCCTTGCCTGAAACCTTCAGTGAGTCTCATCAAAAGATTTTAAATGACTTATCAGCCACTAGCCCTCAAAGCTTCTTCCTTAAGTGTGTCTAGAGGCCAAGTGTGGAAGCATTCAGGTCAGAGACCTTAGACACAGGAGTGAGCTGTGGTGGGAGGAGGCCTTGGCTTCCTGGCTGGCACACTCACTGAGAGTCTATAGGCTGGCCCTACCCCTCAGGAATGTGAATATCCTATGTCTTTTTAATTTAAAAAAAAAAAAAAAAATTACGACTATGGTCCTGAGCCCACATGTTCAACTACTCAGTAAAAAAAAAAAAAAAAAAAAATAGGGAGATAGGGAACAGAGGGATGACACAAAGAAGATCCCAAGCCCCAGGAGACTACCCATACTCATCCTCACTTTACTTATACCAGTTCTGCCTTTTTCAGGAGAGGGCAGCCCCAGTGTCCTGCATTCCACAGGGAAAGGATGGGCCCTACTCAAGATGACAGGGAATTTTTGCTTAAGTTCCTGAGTGTCCATCACTGCCCTCCATCTCTACATCCCTCCTGTCCCAACCACAG